CGTCGTCGGTATCGTGCATCTCGTCGTGGAAGAGCTGGAGCGCATCGACAAGGTCGTCGTTGGTCGGCGTGTCGGCCTTCATGGGCTCGGGCGCCGTCGCAACGGAGACGACCTTGCGCGCCTCCATGCCTGTGAGCCGCCACGCGCGGTAGCTCTCGCGGATGAAGCCAAAGGCCCGCTCTTCGCGCCGGTCCTTCGAGACGAGGCGCTGGTAGAGCGTGTCGGGCACGGAGACGCGCTCCGTGTCGGCGTTGGCCGTCTTCTGGAGGGCCGTCGGCCAGTACGAGAACATGCCAAGCGACACGATGTGGGGCGTGGTCAGGGACATCCGCTCGCTGCTGCTCGTCACGACTGGAAGCAAACTGGTGCTCTGGGGCATGCGAAATGCACCATATCCGGATCCGGCTGTGAATTCCGGATATGTAGCCAATCGGCGCGCGCGGCGTCGCACTGGATCCAATCACAGCGCAGAGGATCTGCTCGTGGCGCCTTTCGACGGCCATCATCGTACCAGAGTCGACTTGAAGCAGCGAGCTGCCATCGACGCCTACAGCGCTTTGGGCATACGACATACCTCCTTCTAGTAGGACACTGCGGGAAGGTAGTAAAAGCAAGGGCCAGGACGCCACCAGCTGGGCCACTGGCGCTCACTGTACACTGGGTGTAAGTAAGGGTTAAAGGGCAAATATCGTGGTAGGGATGGGATTTCTTTAGCTGCTTGAAGTAGCCAAACCATAAAACCAGTGTAGTCAAGCAAGGAATACAGGCGGAGCTAGAGCTTTGAATGGCTTTGAATCGTACCAAGGTCGGTGGGCATGGTCGGTGCTAGCGACATGCGCGCTCGGATATCGCCTTGCTTGCGCAACAGATTCGAATCGCATCGTCTCGGCGGCGAGCTGTCTCGACGGGTCTTGCAGCGACCCCCGCGACCGACCTCTCTTCCTCCATATATGTAGTTGGGTGGTTGTGCGATTGCGAAGAAGTACCATGAACATTGCTTGGCCCCAAGGAACGAGCGTATTCGACCAAATCCATTGACAGGCGCGTTTTCTTGACGCCGCCGACCCACTTGACGTACCGGTGGCAGCAGCAGACAAGAGAACGACGACGTGACGCGTGGCGTGTCCACCTGTGCGCTCAGCTGCCCGTCGTATCAGACGCCCTTCTTGGCGTCTCGAAACCTTGAAGCAAGGTATTCGTCCGCTTTGAAACGAAGCTGTCCCATTGGCGGCAAGACACGTCGGCGGCCTGTATTATACTAGACCTAAATAGACTTGGAGACTTCTATAGACGTATAGACTTATATACGATGACATGTATGTACGAACATTATCCATCGAAAGACGACCTGCGTTATCGCGTGGTGGTGTTAGGGGTCGGGTACCTGCGACAATCCCAAGGTGCGTTTCTCACGTGGGAAAGCACGAATTCCCACGTGTGTACAATGCATTTCTCACGTACGTGTAAAACACTACTTTACCACGTGTGGAAAAAGACATGTGTGTTTTGTGAAAAACGTCGGCGCGGTATTATCCGGACGACGGTCGTTTCTGGGGTGAAACATCCACGCCATCATGATGAGCAAGAAGGGCTCGTCCTCGGGCTTCTTCTCGGGCTTCATGCCGGGCGCCAAGAGCAAGCCCTTGTCCCCGCCGACGTCGCCGACGCCATCCGAGCCGCAGCCGGAGAAGGCAGCCGGCAACCCGTTCGCGGCCAGCGACCCATGTAACAGTACGCGCAAGGAGCCGCCGACGTCGCTGCCCCCGCCGCTCGAGAGCGATGCGGCCCATGCGCGGCCATCGCTCAACCCGTTTGCCAATGCGATGAGTGGCGCCATGTCGATGATGTCCCCGCGCGGGAGCTCGGCCACGTCGTCGGCCGAGAGGCTACCGCCGCGGCCTCAGACGACGACGAACGCGGAGCGGCCGATGGGCTCCAACAGCAGCTCGTCGAATGGCAGCGCGTCCAAGCTGCCGAGCCAAGGCAGCTTTAGTCGCCCGAACGCAGTCAAGTCACCGTCGATGATGTCGATGATGTCGAGCGCGACGTCGTTTGCGACATCGATGCTCCCGTCGACGCCGTCGTCGGTCTCCAAGGTCACGTCCGCGCTCACGTCGATGCCCTCGTCCGTCATGACGCCGGTCGGGAAGGGCCTCGGCACGCTGACTTCGGCAGCCGGGTCCGCCATGGCGCCGGTCGGGAAGGGCCTCGGCACACTGACCTCGGCGGCCGCGGGGTCGCTCACGTCGGCCGCCGAGACGGGCCTGAGCATGATGATGCCGACGGACTTTCCGACGCTATTTGCGCAGCGCAAGGCCGACATTAGCGGCTTCTACGACCCGTCGATGGACGACGACGGGGCCGAGCACGTGGCCTCGGAGGAGGCGCGCGAGTACATCAACGTGTGTGGGCACAACCTGCACTCGGTGCTGAGCAACCCGCGGGGTGGCAACTGGGGCGACGCGTTTCTAGATGCGTTTACGCTGCCCGGCGAGACGGAGCTCACGATCACGTCCATACTGAACGCGCCAGTCATCAGCCGTCGGGATTTCGACCCGTTCATGAAGAGCCTCGGCGAGGCGAGTGCCATGTACACCAAGAACCACGAGCGACCGGTGCGCGAGCAGCTGTCGTCGGCCAACGTGCCATCGGTTGCGGCCGCCGACGGTACGTACCTGATACATTGATAGTTGACATTGTGATGGACGGATTAGAGGACGTGCAAAAGTGCTTTCAAGAAGTTCCGAGCATGTACTTCAAGCCCGAGTACGACTTTACGGACCCGCAAACGTTCCACCACGTGCTCCAAGGCGCGTCGGTCCAAGACACGCAAGACAAGGTAATCGCCGACCTTCCTGTTGCATCCAAGGAGCCAGACATCCGTATTGTATGGATAGCTCTCGGGGTATTTGGACCGCGTCGAAGTGAGCTTGCTTCGCCAAGTGTCGTCGCGCTCGGACCGCTTTTTCGAAGCCTCCAATTCGCAAAATGAAATGAAAAAGCGCGTGACCCAAGCCTGTGACCAAGTCAAGCACCTCCGGTATCGTCGTCCTATGACGTCATCATGATGTTAGGTGCATGACGACATTTCCTTGGCAATAGAGCGACGATGGAGCGGCTGCGCAACTCGATGGCCGACAAGTCGCTCGCCATTTTGCAGCTGCATCGGCGCCAGAAGCGGCTCGCCGAGCTCCAGGAGATTGTGCTGCAGATTGAAGAGATGAAGCACACGGAGAGCAGCGTCGAGGCGCTTGTGCACGGCCACGACTATACCGGTGCGCTGGATGCGATCGACACGGCACTGCGCACGACGAGCCAGCTCGCGGGCATTCATTGCGTCCGGTCGCTCGGCGAGAAGCTGCAGACGTACCGGTCGTTCATTCGGAGCCAAATGAGTGCGCGCTTCTTGGCCATGGTCACCGGTACTGACTGGGTCTTTGATCCGTCGTACGACGCGGCAGGCGCGGCGAGCAACCCTGTCTTGGCGCAGAGTCTGGCGCTCAAGCAAGACCAGACGCGCGAGGAAATGAAGGCGCTCATGGACGCGCTCTTCCGCCTCGAGGCCATTCCCGAGACCATGAACAAGTACCGTAGCCAGCTCACGGACGAGATCAAGATCGTGGTCAAGACCGTCGTGAGCGAGACGATCGAGTCGTCGTCCACGACCAAGCCCGGAGACGGCGCCGATGCCAACGTGACGGTCCAGCTGCGCGCGTTGACGTCCGAGGAGTTCCTCTCGTGCGTCGAGATGATCTTTGAGCACCTCTTGATCGTGCTCCAGCGCGCCATGTCGGTCCAGACGATGCTCGCCGCCACGTTCCACGTCGACGTCAGCACGCCATGTGACGAGCATGACAAGGAGAGCAGTAGCAGTACAACGACGACGACGGTGACGGACGAGTGGTCTCCGGACGCAGCGCCCGAAGCCGCCGACAAGCTCGCCGAGTGGCAAGAGACCAAAAAAGCCGCTAAAATCGTGCGCGAAGTCGAAGATGCGATTCGGAAAACGTGCGAGTTCTCGCAGCGCAGCGTGAGCAACCTCTTCGCCGTCCGAAAAGAAGTCCAGGTACCCTCGTCTCGAGTCGCTTTTTTCTGTTTCTAAGACCGTGTCCAGGCCACGTACACGATGCCGCAATTGCGATCCCTCTACGATGCGACCATGAGCTTTGTCGTCAACCTCGAAAAGTCGACGGGCAAAACCGACTACACGCTGCGCGGCGCGCTCTTCAACCAAGTGAAGTTGTTTCTGGAAAAGTACCACCAGAGCCAGATCAACAAACTCGTCTCGACGCTCAACCACGAGCTGTGGAAGAACGCGGAAATCTCCGCGTCGCGCCACGCCAGCCTCTTGCATTTTGCCCAAGGGAAAGGCGTCTCGCTCGTCCTGTCGCACGACCACGTGGTCGCGGCCGAGACCGCGCCGCCGCTCAAGCAGCTCACACTCTCGTCGACGCTGTCGTTCCGCGTCGTTTGGTCCGTGCTGCTGACGCTTGAGATCCTCATGAACTATGTGAGCTTGGCGGCCAATTTCCCAGTCGTCGCAACCGACATTGTGCAGCGCTCGATCGAGATGCTTCGGGTATGATCGCCTCTTGTTGTTCACAAGGAACCTCCATCATCAACGTGCACTCACTCGACGCGGTAGCTCTTCAACTCGCGGACGACTCAACTCGTGCTGGGTGCCGGCGCCATGCAAGTGGCCCACCTGAAGAGCATTTCCGCCAAGCATCTCGGTATGCGCTGTGTACGATCCTAGTACTTGTACGATCGAATATGGTTAGGCCTGGCGTCGCAGTCGCTCGAGGTCATTGTCGCGTTCATTCCGCACATCAAGTGCCAGCTCGCGCTGCATTTGACGCAGCGCCAAAAGCTGCTGCTCGACGAGCTCGACAAGGTCACGCACGACTACGTGGAGCACAACAACAAGATTTTCGGCAAGTTTATCAGTATTGTCGAAGACCAAATCATGAAGAAGGCGCTGGAAGCGATCGCAACCGACGTCGACTACGACGTGATCGCTGTGCCAAGCGCGCCGCTGCGGAGCATTGCCGCCAACACGGTTAAGCTGTACCAAGTGCTCAGCCCCGTGCTGCCGTCGCTCCAGCTCCAAGTGGTCTTTTCGCGCGTCTTTGATATGTTTACGCACAAGATGCCCGAGTGCTTCAAGGCCGTCGCGCCGCGCACGTCGGTCGGGAAAGCCAAGGTCATTGAGGACATCAAGGCGTTTGTCGCTGCCTTTCAGGAGCTCAAGGACGTGCAGTTTAAGGGCGACGCCCTTCTTGCACACTTTGCGTCGACCTATAAAACCTAGACAAGAAACTATTACCACCCCGCCTTGTATCCTTCAGCAGGGCGGAAACACAGGATCGAACCCACGACCGATTGGTTCCCAACAGTCTTGGTTGAGGACAGATACAGTCGTGCAAGGAGTCTCAAGTACACAATGAGGTTCGAAGCCTTTCGATGGACCGCGTCATTTGTATCAAGATTGTATCAAGGTAGTAGCAACGAGGAGGCGGTCGACGATCGAGGCCGAAAGGGTGAACTAGGACGCGGCTGTGCTCAACTGCAAACGACCAACCAAGTAGAATGGAAGATGGGTCGAGCGACAGGTTGGCAACCGACGAATCTCGAGCCTATCCCCCTGCAACGACGCCTCCGCCCCCGGATGCCGCTCATACTGGACGAACGACGCACTACATTTACTGCTACACTCTACGAAGCAACGCTGTCGACGTCGTGCTAACGTTCGTGCGAGAAGACTGCGCTAAGCAAGCCAAAGTATCGCAATCACAGCGGCTCAACTTTGGATCGTCTACTCTCGGGTTACCTCTAATTGACGACCACGACGGCGTCCAACATGCACCAAGCCGCGTTCCGCTACCTCTGGCCCGTGCTCCGCGCCTGCGTCTGGTTCAACGTCTGGCGAGTCCGGAACGATCGCGTCTTTCGCGCCGACCTACCGCTACGAAGTCCATGGACGATTGCCGTCAAGGCGGCAAGCGTCGCTCAACTGCACTTGCACCACAGCCTCGTACAAGAGCCCGAGCAGCCTGCTCTTCGTCGGCTTCTCCGGCTCCTCGCCCAACACGAGTGGCCGCGACGTCACCTCGTCCCGCGGATCGCGCTCTTGCCTCCGCATTCCTAAATCAAGTTGCTCAACCGAGTGTACACAACGAAGAAAGTCCGACAAATATATTTCGCATAGTTTTATCGATTGTGATAGACGACCCACTTCAACAACAACGTTTGATCGTCTTGGCTGTGTCCACGAGCTTGTGCTGGTGCGCTGCAGAAAACCCGCGTCGAAATATGTAGAAATGTGCGGTAGAACCCACATACTGGGTAGAACCAGCGGTGCGACTCTGTCCACCGTGCTGATGCGCCAAATATTGACCGTCCCACGTTGCCGGTTTGTGGTGAAACCGGAAAAGTTCAAATTGCATTTTCGAACACTCATGCGCCTTGCACCGTGGCTCTTACTGCCGTTGGCCGCAACCAGCGACGACGCGCCCGACCGCGCAGCACGCATTGTCGCCAACATGGTAGTCGTCTTTCGAACTGCGTTCTCGGCAGCTAACACGGTGGGTTGTGTAGAGCGTTGCACAGCTCATTGGGCAGATGACGCAGCTCAGCATCAACCAAGTGCTCAACAGCGACCTCACATTAAACGAAGCTCAAGTCGAAGCGTACGCCAAGCTCGGCATTGGCTCGTACCTCAACTCGCCATTTGCGGGTGGCCCGAAGAACGCCAAGTACGGCTGGAACGCGACCGAGTGGCGCGATATTCTCGGCCGCATCCAAGCCATTCATCGCAAGATCGATCGTCACCCGATCCTCTTTGGCCTCGACTCGGTCCACGGCGCCAACTACGTGGCCAACGCCGTGCTCTTCCCGCACCAGATCAACGCCGGCGCGAGCTTCAACCGCCGCCTCGTCAAGGAGCTCGGGTTTTACACAGCGCGAGATACCGCCGCCGCGGGCATTCCGTGGATCTTTGGCCCGATCCTCGACGTGGCGTCGCACAAGGCGTGGCCGCGCGTGTACGAGACGTTTGGCGAAGACCCGTTTTTGGTCACGCAGATGGCGTCCCAGATCGTGCACGGTAGATATGTCTCGTCCCCAACTCATGTTCCTAAACCCACGCGTAGGGCTGCAAGACAACC